TGAGGAAAATGAACATATTTCCTTTGACTTTAAAGCAGGATTATTTCTCTGTTGAAATGGCAGAGTTGGTGGGCTACCACATGTAATCCAACTGATTATATGTAGCAGCTCTTGCAGGACAGTATGAATTCAGTTTACCTAAAAAGATACAGAAACTGTCAGCTTATTTCCTTTATTTTTTTCTTAATCAAGCTTTATGTGCTTGTACTCAAAACTGCACACAGTTGTTTTTAAATTTTGAGGTGGCGTTACTGGCAAAAGCAAGTAATTCATTACTCAAGTCAATTAAGCTAGCCAGCATAAAGTAAATATGTATTTCCAGCACTTACTTGCAGCGAATGTGTGAAACCTGTGTCAGATAGCTCTGAGCAGTCAGACTCTTCTCTGTGTCTTCAGAAAAAAAGCAGAGCAGCTCTGGGCACCCAGACATCCAGGAATCCCAGATGCAGAGCTGGGATGTTCTAGAGACCAAATAAAACCACAGACTAGATGCTGAAAGTCAAAAGATTAAAGATTAGATTTTCCCTGGGCCCATTTCATTCCCTGATGAACTTGGATGGAAAGCAAATTTCTTTGAATGTTGCTACTATAGTTATAGTTAATATTTCTAGTATTGCTCATTCTTACTTTGTGTTTAGAGAAGAGGGTGTAACTGGTGCATAGAGAAGCATAGCTCATGTTGACTGATCAGTTCCTGGTACATTTGTTTTCATCCATGCAAGAAAAGGTCTCTAAGGATTATTGAACACCTTGGCTCAGAAATCCCGGAGCTACAGGCTCTGGAAGTCAGTAGGATACACTCAGCTGTGTTCACTGTGTGCTTGTCCCCTTCTTATGCTCTTCCTTAGAATCTATTTTCAGAGACAGGCTTCTCTACTTGCTAGACTCTGGCCTGAACCAGAAGTAAGTTTTTAATATCTTTGTGTAGGTTAAACCTGTCTCCAGAGATGGAGTCTCCACAACCTCTCTGGGCAGCCTGTTCCAGTGCTCTGTTACCCTTACAGTAAAGAAGTTTTTCCTTATGTTTAAGTTGAGCCTCAAGTGTTCCAATTTATGACCTTGCCCTTTGTCCTGCCACTGGACACCACTGAAAACAGTCTGGTCCCATCCTCCTGACACCCACATTTTAGATACATACCAGCATTTTCTAGTTGTAGTGTGACAGATAGCAATACTGGTTTATTGCTCTGATAGGTAAGTGGCTCTAAAAAATATTGGCCATTCTCCTTTTTTTATTCATTTGTGGCTGAAAAAATTGTCAAACTTTGGAATCAAATATGCATATGGAGCTATTTAAAGAAATACTGACTTCTCTATTAGGGATTGTGGAAACAAGTGGAAAGAGGATGGAATGTTGTTGTTATAGTTCTTGTTGTTCTTACTAGCTACTTTTCCCATAGGCTTAGAATGTTTTTCAGATTCATTTAACTCCTACATAAAAGCATAATTCTTTTTAAAAATGAAGATTCTAATTGTATGCAATGTACAAAACAATAAAAATGTGTAGTCTGTATTTATTCTGACTTAAGTATGCTTATCCAAATGGTTACCTTTTTAAAAAATTGTAGAGTAGCTGATACACAAGTCAGATATTACTGAAATATTTCTTGGGCAATTTGATCTTTTAGTGATGGTACTTGGAAAAATATTTGGTCTCCAAGTTACTAAGTTAAGAATACAAGCTATTGACTGGAAATCAAGATATGAGATGTGCTGAATGTTTCTTTGGGGGCTTTTTAGTCCTGTTGTTTAGACTGAAGTCACTCCGTTAAGGGAATTATTTTAATATGTGTTATTACTATTAGTGTTGTTATTATTGCTGTTATTATCATCATCATACCAGCTGTGTGCTACTTGCTAGCCAATGATTTCTGAATACATGAGGAATAACAGGCTTCTAACCTCTTTTTAAACAGAAGATCTTGCTGTTCCCATCCCTTAATTTTTGCTAAAATATACTTGTTAGTCTTTAAAAATGTTGACAGGAGTTCTTGTCAGAGGATGTTTTTATATGTGGTTTCCCATTGAGAAGCATCATGTAAATCAAATGCAGACCTAAAATTAAGAGCTGTTGTGTCTGTGGATTTGTTTAAAGTTATAAAGCACTTGAACATAGCAGCCTCAAATAACACTTTATTTTTAGGTGCTTGTAGTTCTAAATTTCAATACTGATGACATGTGATAACATAATAGATGCTGCGTGTGTCTAGAAAACATAGTTTAGTAAATATCTAAATGTTTGCTTTTAGGCCTGCCTGATTCTTAGCATCATGCAAAAGCTTAATTCCCCAGTGACTGAGTTGTGTGTTTGAGGCAGGAGAGAGCCAACTTCCAATCCCTGTTTCAGTGAACAGGCTTCCAAGACATCAGTGTTGCATAAGCAATATTACTGGTTTTAATTAATTAATTTATCCGAGAGTATGTGAAAATTGTAGTACTCTTGCAGAATAATTTTCAGAATTTAGTACAAAGGATGGCAAATTAGTTTGCTAGTCAAAATAAAATTTGTGAATTAAAAATTAAACCAACAAAATATATCTAATTGTGGATCACACTTTAAGTAGATGGGGGGGGTAAGATCCTTTTTTGGATGTGTTCTGATTTATTCTGGGGCTTCATTGCAAGGATGTAAACTAATTGGTACCCTGTATTTGCACAAGCAATCTCAAATTCAGGCATCAGCAATCCCATGCATTCTGAATATGAATGTCAAATGCACCTGGAGTTACATAGCTGAAAGTTCCTGTGCCCCAAATTTCTGGATTTCTGTGCTAACACTAAAAGCTTTTTTAAAATCTGCAACATCAGTGCCTCCTATAAATGCAAAGTGGTGTGTATATTTCTTCATTTTCAGGGATCTACTTCAGACATTAACTGAGGATGAACTGCACACGTTGGAGCGTAACCTCTGCATCTCTCAAGATTTGGATTTTCCTGTCAGATCAGATCCTGAAGTACCGTCTGTCATTGCACCAGTTGTAACTGCAACTTTGCCTGCTCAGGAGCTTTCAGCAAAAGCTGAAAACACAGAGGCTGAGCTGGCTTGTTCTATGCAGTATGATGAACAGGAGCTGGAACAGCTGAACAGGATGGTACACAGAGTTGGAGATGAAATGTCTTCTCTGCTTTCCCCTCCAAGCATCTGTCAGTCTCCAGCTCACAGACCTAGCCTGAGAAATAGTTCTAGCACAGAAGCTTCACCAGTAAGACACCATCTTGACAATTTAAGTGATGAAGAGGACAGAGTGTTTTTTATGGATGACCTAGATGGAGCAGGAGAAGCTCTTGCTGGGTTGGATTCAGTAAGTGATACATTTGCTTGGGTGAATAACCCTTGCCATGATTCAAAACAGAACCTGCAATACAGGGACGCTTTGCTGTATGAGAATGGCCATGAGACAGAGGAAACTTTGCTTTTAAAAGATGCTGCAAGTGACTTAAGCAATAATAACAATATTGAAGATAGCCGAGAAATGTCTGGCATTTCAGTTCAGAATTCATGCAGCTGTCTAGAAGGTCCAGACTCACAGTTATACCTCAATGGCTGGGATGCATATGCTGATGATGCAGAAATGGCAGAAGTGATAGCTCACAGGACAGGGGGAATGAAAATATCTGCTACTGTAATATTCAATCCGAAGTCTCCCTCTAGCTCAGAATCCCCAGTAACAACTCCAGAAGCAGCGATTAGTTGTGTCCCTGGATCTGCTAATCCATTAACAAATGAGGAGGAGGATGAATCCCATAAACTCAGTATAGCTGCCACAAACTGTCTAATTAATTCCTGTGTGTGTTGTGGCAGCTGTGAAGACAGCAGGGAGGATAGTGTTGGAGGTCTAAAGACTAAACATTCTGCAGGAGGTGTTGTAAATGCTTCATACACGTTAGTAAAATCTAAGGAAATGGACCATGTAGATAACTTGGACAATTCAGTCCCTACACAGGAAGCATTAAAACCCGAAACTTCTGCTTTGTTAGCAGAAAGAGACTTTGGCAGAGAAGAGCAAAAACTGCCAGTCTCCTCTAAGTGCCTGGCACATTCCTCAGGTTCTCAGGTAGGAGCAGAAAATTACTCACAAGGAGAAGCAGAAAGCATCTCAAATGAGCAGAAGAAGTGGGAAAAGAGAAAACAACAATGTGAGAAAAAACTGGACAACAGCGAAGATGCCAGTACTGAAAGAACAGCAAAGGAAGATGTAAAGTCAAGATCTAGTTCAAGGTAAGAGCAACTTGGTGTTCTGATGGTAATTTGCATGTAAATAAATTCCTATATCTTTGTACTTTAGTGATTGGTGTATAATTAATGTTGATTTTAAAGAAAATAATGTGTAGCATGATTAAGGAGTTTTTCAATATACGTATATCATGCAGGTGGCTTTTTATTGTACTTCATCAGCTTTTTGGAGAACAGTTGGAGAACACGTGGATTTTAATTGCATGATGTGTCTATATCATTGAAATCAAGTATACTAATCTTAACCAGTTCAATGTAAAAAAGAATGCAGTACTACTAAACAGTACCTGGATCATTGCCTCTGTTTGTAATCAGCTGTTTTGCAGTGTGCCTGGCAGATACTAAAAAGTTAACTTATGCATCAATGCATGGGATTAAATTGGGATCTAAGCACATCTTAACCTTGGCTTCATTTGAGAGATCTCATCATGTTGCCTGTGGGCACAACTGCATTTGTGAATGTACTGAAGGAGCCTAATAGAGTGCAGAAGCAGCTTTTAAACCTATTGGACCATGTCAACCAAAATGGATAGAGGAATAAAGTTCATGGATTAACGGTCTACATACTTAATGACAGTAAGGACATAACAGGGAGAAACCATAATAATAGTTGTGTTAAAGAAAATGCCATGCTTCAGCTCAACTTTGATGATACACTGGCAATCCTACACACATCAGTAGGAAACCAGACTTCATTTTGGTTTACTGTTTAGAAGATAACCTGTTTAGTGGTAAGTAATGTCCTCAGTTTCCCTGAAGTATTAATATCAAAGCAGAGGGAAGACATTAAATAGAAGTAATTTTTGTTTTCTATATTCCTATGACAACTTTCTTCCTTTGTGCCTTACTGTGTCAGTACTGTGGGGATTGTATGTGTCTTGCTGAATGTCCCTTGTTATGTCTGTCTAGAGTTCAGGGTAACACTTGGGGTTAGCTTGAACCATGAAGCATTGCCACAGTATAAATGCTCCAGAAATAAATGTTTGTTTAATAACCTACCAACTGAATTATGAAATATTTCTGAAATATTTTACTGGTTGTGGAAATAGAATCAAGACTTCTTTGTGCTGGAGTTAATTCCTCTTACAGGTAAAACACAACTTAGTGTGTGCAAAACTTGACTTTTGAGGTGGCTATTTTATCTTCCACATTATTCTGAGTATTTGCAATCTTGGGCTTGTAAGTATGATCAGATTCAAGGCCTTACATCAGAGTTTCTGAATAGACTTAATTTTAAGAAGCAATTCACAAATTAATGCTGAAAAGTAATTAGTGTGTGTTTAATTAGTGTGCTGATAAATCATACATCGTTTACAAAGCTCAGACAATTTGTCTACTAATTTTTGTCTTGGGTGTAGGGTATTAAGTGCAATTTGTGCGAACTAGTCTACAAAATATAATATTATATGTTTCTTTTTCAGCCTTCCAGAGTTTGTAGATGTAGTAACCTCTTCTGCACATCCTTGTCTAGCCTCCATTGATAATGTGTAAAAACTGTATGAGTATTGTCCTTTTACAGAGTTCTGTAGGTCTGTGTTCTTCTGTCTTTGTGTATTCTGAACCTAGATCTGAAGAGCTTCATTGAACAGCTCCTACTTCCTGCCTGGCCTCTCCACACTGGCTGTGATTTTGTAGACCTCAGTCACACTTGGCCTACATAGTTACTTGTTGTGGTTGGAAAAGTTGCCGCCTACTTGATCAGAAGTTTGTCCATAGCTTTGATAATTCCTTTTGTCTTGCTCTAACCCTTTTTCAGTTACACTGTTTCCTCTTAGTAAAGTGAGTCAGAACTACTCAAGATTTGAGCAAACCATGGATTTGTAGACTGGCATTGTCATCTTCTGTTGTTTTTCCAGTGGTTCTCAATATTTGACTTTTCAGTATCGGCCAAGTAGTGAGCTGATGTGTTTTTGAAGTGTTCTGCCTAAGCCCTAAGACCCTGCTCAGAGCTCAGAGACTGTCATTCTACATCTGATGCTAAGGTGGTTCTCCTTGTGTTTACCGGTTGAATCTCATCTTGCCATTTTGTTGGCAAGCTACTCAGACTTTAAGATCCTGTGCAGTTCTTCAGTCTACTCTTGTTATTACCCTGAATAATTTTGTAACATTCCAGACTTCATTGTTCTTCCCTTTTTTGCAGATCATATGTGAAAATAAAACCTGCACGGTCCTAAAGACCTTCAGTGGTGACATCCCAATCTTCTGAGAAGTTGTCCTTTAGCAGCTCCTCCTTATTTATGGTTTAAATTATTTATCCATTGGTAGCCTCTTTCTTTTATGCTGTAGTGCCTTAGTTTTATTACAGGCCTTCAGCTGAGGTGTTTTGGCAGAACATACTCGGAAATCCAGATGTTGCCAGCTGAATTGTGATTCTTCACAAGCTTCTTGACCCCTTCGTAGACCTCTCAAGAGGTTCCCTCTGCAGCAGCCATGTTACTTCTTCCTAGCCAGATTTTCACATTATTGTCTGCCTACAGGAACTTTGGGTATATCCTGGGAAGTTGTTTGGCATGAAGAATAGGCTTGCAGAACTAGAGTTGTTTGAATCCCCTTGGGGTCCATTTTCTTTTTAGAGAGCTCCAGGCATCAGGGAAGTTTTAAACAGGAGGTTGTTAATTCATCTGGTTCATTCTTGTGTTCTCCTAAAACTCTTGGGCAAATATTTTTTAATATTTACTTAACAAGCTAGTGAGTTTTGTCTGTTTGCACCATGGCCTCTGCCACAGTTCCTTTGTTAATTGCATCTAATTCTCCCTATTCATTATTAAGACTACCGTGCATCTGTTATTAATTGGCAAATTTCTGTCTTTGCAGAAGTGGAGAAATAGGGATGGAAGTATTTTGTTACTGGATTGTTGTGCCTTTAAATGGAAATTTCTGTTACTAACTCCTTTGGTATATTCTATGAGATGGAGATGCTGGGAATTTACTGAGGACTAGATTAAAAAATTTGTGTAGATCCTTAGTTTCTCATATCTATTTATAGATTTGGTTCTTGCTTCTGAATCATTAGTCATGTTATTAGCAAAAGAGAGAATTTGGTTACAAAACAGAGTTTTGTGGACCTGTTCTTACTCATGCTGCTGGGTGGTGACTAATCACTGCTTTTCAATGGTGTTTTAAAATTGGAAAATCATATTAGGCTTCTGCGCCTGCTCCCCATTACATGCTTTTGAATGCCAGCTTAACCACAGGGAAGGTGTTGGAGACAGTTGATTATTTTCAGAATGATGGACCCATTAGCCAGAACAATAAGCAATCTAATATACATGAAATAGCTGCAGAATATGCTCATTCATCAAACTGTTAAACGTATTTACTCTCTAGTTAACTGCAAGTCACCAACTAGGAGAAGAAAATTTTCTTTATCTGAATCAGGCAGCTGTCAAATATGTACATTATGACACAAACTGTTTCTTTTAGTACATCAGTTTTTCTACAATGCTGTGTGACGTTGTTTATAGGTATAATTTCCATGATCCAGTCAGGTTTACTATCATTAATCTGTTAAGTTTGGAATACCTGGTATTTCAGGCTTCTCTATCTAGCCTCAGTATTCAGTGGAGTTTAAGATACAGATTAATTACGCTTCCACTTAAGATTTGGGTGATGACATGTACTCATGAATTTGGTTTTTAAGTCATAGCTGATGTTATGTCATTCTCAGTTATTTGCTTGTAAGTATTTTAAAGGCATAAAACACAAAGGGCACTGAGAATTTTGGGCAGCAGCATTAATGAGATGCAAATACAACAAAAGTGCCAGGAAAGATGTAGTTAGTATCTGATCTATTGCAAGGACAATGTGGTAAGTAAAGGCTGTCATGTAGCAAAACGAACTGTTAAAGGGGGGGAAATAATGTAAGAAAAGCGTAAAAGGTGATAGAACCATGCAAAGCAGCATTTGGTATAGTTTTGTGCCTGCTTTTTCCAAGAGGAAAGAAAGGTGCAGAGTGTGAAGATCCTGTTTATTCTGGTATTTTGGAAATACTTGGCTTTCTCTTCTTTCCAGAGTTGAAGAGTCCTTGTGAAACTGTTCATTCTTGTACATGTTCCATGAAGTTTGGCATCTTGCTTCATATTTTCATGCAATGCAGGTTTTTTTCTGTTTTAAATACTGGATTCTGTTGTGTGTTTATCTACATACTGACCTTGCAACACTTCTGATAGTAAACTACTCTTAAGCTTAAGTGTTTCTCCTTTCCCATGCAGGTCTAGCTTAAATTATACCCTTTTTTTTCCCCATTTTCCTTGAACTTAGTTTGTTTGGTGAGTGTTCCTTGATGAAGCCTCTTACAGTGCACCTGAGAGTTGGCAAAACTAACTGAAATGTGTGGCAAGGAGATCTTATCTTCACACATCTTGCAAGCTCTAGCTGTGTCCCTTGGCTGTTAGATGTGCCATCACATTTGTTTGAGGGGGCTGAAAAAATAGAATGTTTTGCTGTGTAAGGAGGACGAATGCTTTGCTATTTGAAAGAACATGTTTTGCTGTTTGTTGATCTGTGTTGCAATTTTAGAGTAAGATGAAAAATGTATTTTTCTCCAGCTTGTTATTCAAGTTGTCCTGTTTCTTAGTGTTGCACTTCTGTAGTCTAAAATAGTGTATATTGTAATATAAAGTAAAAAATAAATACAAAATAATTTTCCTTGGCATATTAAAATGGCTTTGTAAGAAGATGAACACCTGTTTTATACAGTTGGTTTCTAATTTTGATTTTTCTGCCTGTATTTTTTTCACTTCTTAGCATCATGTGACAAGTATACATGTTTTCAGTACAGCAACTTTAAGATAAGCGTGGAAAAGAAGCATTTGTATTTTGGGGATGGCTAGGATTTACATTTTAAAAACCAAAACCAAACCCACACAAGTTACCTTTCTAGCTTGTCTTTTACCTTAGAGCATTTGATTTTGTAAGTGCTGCTTTATCAAAACTAGATTAATTGATATTGCAGTGCAAATTAACTTGATTAAAGGTCTTAAATT